CTTTTTAATGCTTATAAACGTTTTGCGAAATACATTTCATGTTGTAACTACGAAAAATTTCAATTCTATTAAACTCGATTAAACATAGACATGTATGGTATGTGCATAATTGCATATTTCCCTGATTGTGGTCATTTTGAATACACACATGTATCTATATATTTAGATTTTGATTGAACGCTCACTTCCATACCAGCTTACTATTTTTCCATATCCTAGCTTCTGATTGAATTCTGTAGCGAACACTCGAGCGTAGCTTTCTAGTTGTTTGATGAATCGAATATTGTATAATTTTTTTTCGAATAGGTATATGTTGAATTTAGGAAACGGCATGGTTTTTGTCGAATGCCCAACTTGAGAATTAAGACGGTTACTTTCAAAACCACAAAACCTTTGAAATTTAACAGAATCAGTTTGTTTTGTTAACCTACCTAAAAAAGGGTAAAATAGAGGTACTCGCATTATCTGTAAAGGCGCAATATAATCGTTGCAATGTTTAATAAAAGTAATATTTGATTTTTTTAAACAGTAAATGTAATAAAATTCGACTACGTGACAGTAGTAAATAATATGTAAATATATGTATTTGTTGCTCATTTCTAGCTTTTTTTTTAAATTTTTTTATACTACTGAATTCCAACGTAAAATGTCTGTATAATTAAATTACAAACACGTTGCAACTGCAGGTAAACTATTTGTATCGACAAATCATGAATCTTTCATAGGTCACACAAATTCCACGTAACTGCAATAATTCTATTTCTGGCATTTGAAATATAACAGAACATTCATGCATTTAAATATATAAATGTTATGTCACTACATAAATTGCAGTAAATGGAACAATTTTTAAAATTAATAGTTTGTAAATATTGTTAATAGATATATGTTAATATTGTAATAAACTTACAATAAAACTTTCAAAAGTCTTCTTAATAGCGCCTGAGCGACTTTTAACTTCTGGATGGTAATGTAAGATTATAAGGAAATTATTTCATAATAAATAAGAATGGGGGAAATATAATAGGCAATAAACATTATCTATTTCAAAATTCGCTATCTCGTTCTGGCATAGAATGGGCCACCTCTTCCTTTCCCTTAGGTGTTGTAAGAGGCGACTAAGGGAATTAATAGTCGAAGGATGAGCAGCATAGTCTCTCTTAAAATATTAAAACTCTAACTGCGATTGCTTATCTGTCTGTCAAGTGCAGCAACTACTGGCAAAAATTTTCCAAACTTTGTGTGCAATGAAAAGATAGCGGCTGATATGAGGATGATGATGATTTCAAATTTATTTCATAGAACACGATCACTCATTTTATGTATATGTATAAAAACATCTATGTATTAAGCATCTGTTGAGTAATCATATTAAATGGTCATTAAACTGTTGTGCGTGATACTTGTAACAGAACTTAAATATAATATTATGAAATAAAATACGGATTTAAACAGCATAAAATTGCTACTTATTGTAACAATTTAACCATAATCGTAAATAGTACCAATACAGATGATATGTAAACCCACGTGTCGTGTACCGCGGCGCGTGTTAAACGTTAACTTAATTTAATAGAAGTGCCGTATCGCCGCGTATCTAATGTTATAAATTGCAAACGTAGCGAGTCACTAACAGCTAGTTTCCAATGAATGGGTCAGTAATCATCTGCATTTGAGGCCATTATCTCAATTGGCGAGTGCTCATTGAGCGTCGACCTCCGATGCCGGACACCGCGCCCGCTCAGATCCACAATGCATGTTTGTTTGCTTAACAATGTGCTTTTCAGCTTAGATACAATTTAGTTTTAATAATAAATAAAGGATCAATGATCAGTGATTACTCTTAAAAATGTTACAAAGGGATGAAGTTTATTTAATAGCACGCTATTTACGTTACGATGTGAAAAAGGACATGACTTGTGTATTAGGGTTGACACATCGTCGTGTTCATATAAATAATTGTACTGCCAGTTAGGCATAACAATTAATTCTGATGATATATGCATAACCCTAAAAATCTGATTGGATTACAGCTTTTGCTGTGTACCTACCTATCTGTATTACATGAAGTTACAGAAATGTAGTGACGTTTGACTTTCTAGACTCAATCGAAGGCTTTTATCTAAATACTTTTATCCATTATTTTCAGTAGCATAGAAATAATATTTTCCTTAAATTTAAACATTAAGATTTATCTCTTATATAATACAAGAGCTGTATTGATTTGGTAGATAATCCTAAAAATAATATTTGTAACCAGAAAACTTCCACTCCCTATTCAATTTCTTTCGAATATTTAGTGTGTCTCTAAAAGAAGACGTTAAAATCTTGTTAATGTACAATACGCTATACTATTAATGCAATATCTCCAAAAATAGTTGTATAAGCATATATTCTCTTCCGAGGGAATCGCAGATGTATAAAGAAAGTTATGAAATTGAATTCGATAATGATGATTTAAAATACGTACTTACACAAACATACATAAAATTTGCAGTCTTTATTAAAAGTTCTAATGTCAGAAGACCATATATATCTATACATATTGGTCAAAACATTCAAATAATGTGCTAAGTAAATAAATAATGATAATTATTATCTATTTGCGTATTCGCACTCTTAGCAAAATATCGACCTAATCTCTTCATTATCTGTACTCAGCTTGTGATCTTGAACATATTATCTTACACTGCGTGATCAAGTATTTAATTATAATAAATACCTATTTCAAAGTTGTTGACAAACATAACTAAATAACAATCAAAATGTAGATGGAACTTGAGGGTAAATTAAACAAATCTTTAGGTCTCAAACGATAAAGTGCATTAGACGTTGTCTTTTCTTAATATATTAATCATCCAATATTAGACACATCAGGATTGTTTACATTTCTATATATATATATATATATATATATATATATATATATATATATATATATATATATATATATATATATATATATATATATATATATATATATATATATAAATTGTAATTTATAGTTTAAAGGCATTTTGAGAATTATATGGCCCATTTTAATTTTGTAGTGAGTCTTCATCTCCAATTAACATGAATATTGTATTTTGCATAAGAGCGTTCATAACTTTAGTTTACTGAAGTGTAGCAACGTCATAATTAACTGTCAATTTTCGAAAAAAATTTAACAATTTTCAATGCTCTTAATTGAACATTTAAAAAGTTCACTATTAGCGAACTAAAATGTTAATTATGTAATGTAAAGTAAATTGGACTCTCTTATCCGCGCTAAGCCTCTCATTTGGGCCATTGCACGTATGAGTCATGGCATGTACAGCGAAAAAATGTTAATTATGTAATAATACTGTTATAAAGCTTTCACTGAAAATTTGGATTTTGATAGCAAAAGTGTATTTGAAAAATTTCGAAGCAAAATATTAAGTAGGTGCAAAGTTTTTAGCACTAGCAGAACTATAAAAACATTTTTTAACTCTACTCTTTATTTTCCTCTTAAATATGGTAAATTACTTAGTAGATACAAACTTGTATGATTTACACCCTTCCCTTCAAGGTCTGCTTAAATGCACACGCGATAGTATTTTATTTTTTCTTTTCTTGGCAACAATTTTTTCATTTACTAAATTATTTCTTTAGAGTTCTCCCATTTTGTTTAAATTTGTTCTGATATTTAACACAGAGCATTGTGGTTTTCCGGCATTTACACCACACTGTTAGTCACAGTGATGGAAATGTATATCGGGAATGTTCCAAGTTTATCTTTGGCCAGTTTCTTCTGCAGGACTATTTCACATTCTTTCATGTTTCTATCCCATCTATTTGGACGATGTGATTAACAGAATTTATTGTGTTTTGACTGTCATTATTCAATGTAATTCCTTTATAGTTTTTTTTTTTCAATATTTGAAATCCACGACCGGGGCTTAACATAAAACTACTTCAAGTAAATTCAAAGAACTTTCATTCATCATCATGAACACACATCTTTCATGGTTATATAATTGGTCATGATAACATTTTTCATGTAGCATACTAATCCATCTTTACCTACATTTATAAATTTGGCATAGAAGTATATCTTGGTTACTTTACAAGTACAAATTTAATGTCGATTATTTTTGAAATAGTTAGACAGGGTTATTAAAAATACATGTATAGTTTGATCCTTATTAAAAAAGAAATACGTTTCCCTTAGATTATATCCTAAAATTATATATTGGAAGTTTGTATAATTTTTACCATAAATATATTTAATGTTTAAAGTGTACCTTATAAAAATAATTGCTGGTTTATTAATGAATTTGCAATCTTTTGCAGGTGAATGTATGAACGTTGTTTCATATTCTTCAACCCTCTTACTTATAAACATTATAATTTTTGTTAATCTATGATTAATTTGGTATTTAATGTCTACAATTTAAATAGCATTTATAAGTAAGAAGGCTAGCAATAAAACTCGACTCAAAGATGGTAATAGTTAAGTAGAAATATACCACTATATTTTTATAATATGCTTTAATATATTGTACTCGTATATACGGTATTGCCATCTACTTTTATTTACTTTTATTATTGTCTCAATCTGTTAACGTACATTATGACGAACAATATTAGTAATCAATTGTTGCAATTGTATGTTAGACTCTGTATACCTACGTATAGACATTAATTGTGTTTTAGTTCTATAGATATATTAGTACCGAATAGCGGTTCTAGCGTTTTATTTGGAATTCTTACATTAAAGTAGATTAATTTATTAAATTCAGTTTTCCTTTAAAGTAAATATTTACACCAAAAGTTAAACCTTCATAGTGTAAAGATAATCCTAATTCTTCACTGAGTACTAGCAAAGTAAAATGAGCATGTTAATTGTAAGACAATATCACACCCTAAGCAATATTCACGGAGTAACTGTTGAGATATGATACCCTTATGTATAAGAACAACCACTGTTATAAGAATTACTTACACGTTAGATTCACGGAGAAAAATATTTTTCCCAGGGTTACGCAAGCGGTAATTGTGGTGGAGCACCTTAATTGCCATCTTCCGAAGTTTGGTAAGTGAGGCACTCCATTTATACACAGTCTGCCCGTCGTGATTCCGGAGAGAAATATTTTGTCGGTTGTACCGCTCATACCCTGGTAACACAGCTTCTTACACGAACAGTGAACAGTGCGGAACATCACCGCATAAATAAGTCTTTCCCGGGAACCACCGGAAGCATATCTCACGTAGACTAGCCGCTTGGAGCCATAGACAGCTTATTAGTTAGTTGCGCACGCGCACGGTCGATGTCACGCTATGCATGATTATAATAAGAGCACGATTTCTTTATTCTTTTAATTGTTCACTCTATGTATATTGTGATGTACTTTAGTGGATAATGCACAATTTTAAATATCTTTTCTTTTATACTTATGGTTGTCTTAGAATTAGATATGTGCAAAATTGAGCGTAGTCTCTGGTTTTAAAGCAGTTGTAATATTTGGACGCAAGGAAGCTATCAAAGTAATCATTAGAGGCTCTAGGAGGGCTTTACTCGTTGAACCTGATCGCAAGCCAACTGATCCGTGTAATGGAAGTCTGAGTTTGGCCTCATCTCGTTCATCTCAACCTCTTTATTGTGTATATAAACAGCATTATTTTACTAAAATTTGAATGTTATGGTTCCATCATTTTGTAAAATTTATTTCGTTAATGTTATTAAGTTAATTTTTTAATAGAATATATTTTTTTATTACTATAAATATTTCCATTTATTTTAATGCAGTTTGTTCACTTTGTCCGTGTTGTGCATAACCTATAATTGGTTTTGGTCTCTAACTGAATATAGTTCAATTGTATTTTTCAAAAAATTAATATAAGTTATGTAAAAAAGAACACTAAACGAGTTGATGCTGGTATTTACGTTATTTTTAGCTATTTCCTAATACTTACTACTGAACAACTAGGTAAATAAAAAAAAAATAGTATAATATCAAAGTCTTACCTGTTGACCGCGGCCAAAATTATTTTGTACCTATGCTGAATTTGAGACGAGATTTATATAAGCAATCAAGTTTATTTTGTAATTCTTAATATTCAAATTTATATTTCGGATTCATACATCTTGTTATGTATTACTATTTTTGTCGTTATCAATTGTTTTATTTTATTTATTACCTAAAATTATAGCTAAGCGTAGAGTTCCCTTAGCAATTTTTTATTTGCTATGTTTCTGCTTTAATTTTCATAACAAAATATTAATGGAAAAGATTAAAAGATTCTAAGCTGTATAGTATTATGTTGAAGTTTTGATATGCAGACTTATTCCGAATGGATACTGTAAGTTAATTCCAATCTGTTGCAATTAGTGACATTTATCTCACTAAAGGCCAGCAATTATTTTGTAAATGATACTATTTATAGGCTTCGCAAGAATCAAGATATATTGTTATAAATTACTTACAAAGATAAAATAAAAACACAATATATTTTTAACCGGAAGATTTTCTTATAGAGTTCATTGACATTTACACACAGCGACGGCGCTTCGTGATATCTAGGTATTAGCCCTTGTTCCTGTAATTGAATGGTATCTAGAAAATGCAGTGCGAGGAAAAATATCTATTGCTCACTTAGTTCTAGGGATTAAAGACTTCACATGATATCTATTAGAACAGGATTTCTGTCTTTCATATATTTTATAGAGAGGGCATGTTATGTTGGTTCGAGGATGTGATAAGAATGTCGGATGAATTTTTTTTTATATAGATGAAAAAGAAATAGTGACTCCACTTACGCTGTCGGTTAACGCTGGCGCGGCACCATATGTAAGGATGAAAGCAAGTCAGTCATCCATCATGACGAATTCTACAAGAATTAATCTCAATACTTTCAGTTTAGTTCAGGAGAACCGCATAGAGATCAACTAGATAGAGTAGGCTATTAGAAATGGGGAGTTAAATCTGATAAATAACAAATCTTTTTCCCTTGGATGAACAATTATTTGTATTTATATACAGTATGAAAGTAGAAGGATGCATATAATTATTAGGAAAACTAGACTAAGTGCAGTATCAGAGGAAAACTCAAAAATCTTTGAAACTAAGGTGTATGTATATGTGAGACAAGTCATGAAACTAGGTGTGTAGGGACGATGGTCTTTAGAATTCTCTCTGTATACTCCATAAGATTAATAATATTGTTATATACAATTTAAGTATTTATGAATTAAATATTGAGAACATTTATTTGTTTGCTATTCCAAGTCATAAAATTCAATTTAGAGTTCATAACAATATTGTTAACAATACTAACTTTATTTATTTATTTAAATAGACAGAGATAGAAGGAGGCGGCTCAGCCCTTACAACAGTGGAGTCAAATGTGCTTAGCGAATTGTGGTCATGTTACGTTCACCACAGCAGCATTGCAGAGACAGAGAAAATACGTGTACGAAAATCTGACTACCCCTCTGGAATTCATCGTGTCGAAATAATCAATGGTGAGTTTAAGGTTACGATCAACAGGTAGTGGTTTTGTGTTACATTCCTGAGTAATATTATCATACCTATTTCTGTCAAGTATTACTGGTATTGAATTATTCTGGATCAAAGGAAAAACTCAAATAGAATTCCGACACAGGGATTAGTGTTATGAGATTCTTAGTCTGGTGAGAACGAGAGCGCATGAGGTATGCCATATAACGGCATAATACAATCTGTGCTATACAATTGTTTTAGAGTTTATCAAGTTACGATGGAGTTAGTTGGCATAGTGTTTGGTATTTTAGATAAAAGGTCATTATTTTTAATATTAATTCTAAAAATGATGATGATGATTCCAAAAAAGAGAAAATCATGTTTTTTCTGTCGTTTTATGTGCCTAATAGATAAAAATAAAAAATTTCTTTGAGATCACTGCCAGCTGGTAGGGTACCTAGGAGACTTGCTGCATTTCCACGCTGAATAGTTAAAGTGCCTAATAAATTTAGGACTTATATAAATATCTATATACTTTATCATATCAGACACGGAAATTTATTAGTTATTTAATAGCTAATATATAAAGGTGGATGTTTTTGGAGGCGATTAAGGGAACTTAATAGTGGAGCGATAAGCAGCAGCGTCTCTCTTAAAACATCATCAAAGCCTAACTGCGTTTGCTAACCTGCTTGCCAAGCGTGACAACAATTGGAAAACCTATCCAGTAGGGGGCCTATGATCAGCTGTGGACAGTTAATGGCTGATATGATGATGATGTAAACTCTTACTAATTGTTATAAATATAAAAGTGAGTTTAATTGTTTATGTATTACGCTATTACCTCTGGCACAGACTTACAAGAACAAAAATAGCTAATTATTATTAAATTTATGTAGATGATGAAGTCGCAGGTGGTCGCTTATAAAATAAAAAAGAAAATGTTTTACAACTAAAAATATTTCTTACAAAAACATTCAACACGGCTTAACTATATCATATCAATTCGGATACAGATAATAAATAAATGTTCTCGATCTGTGAAAAGCTTTCCTTAGCGTCCCTTAAAAAAGCAAACTCCGTCTATGTGGAAAGTCGAGTTGATATCTCTTTGTAATCCGATTACGACAAAATGTTATGTCACTTTTACCGAGTTAAGCGACCTTCCTAATCCTTCACGTTGATATATTTAATTATACAATTTATAAAGGCTAACAGTTTACATGTGAGCGACGAAGCAACCCTTTTGTTTCTCATCTTATAATATTTATTCAAAACCGACACGACGCCTCTGTAAATTTCGGCATATATAATGAATAAATATAATGACAATTTCATGTTTGTTAATACTTAATAATAAACGGTAATATAAAAGGCAACATTTTTAAGATATTATGGCCATATAATTTCCATATTTTCGTCATTTGTACTTTTACACTTAGTTAAATGTCGCATTGTTTTGCCGGTAAGAAGTTTAAAAATAAAATCAAATATATGCTCTGTGACCTCGCAAGTTATAGGATAATTTTTTCAGTAGGCCGTTAATAGTAGGTCTTTAGAATTATTGTCATTTTTTTAGCAGTATGATGCTGCTTATTTTTATATGAATTATTGTCTAAAGTTGAATAAAAAATTAAATTTGTTTTGTCATAAACATCAAGTTTTTTTTTAATATAAATTAAATAAATAAAGTACTAAATCGAAAATAAATATAATGCATCTGGGAATATCTCTAGTATAGTAGTTGTTTCTATTTCATTATGAATATGTCATAAAGTACTCTATATTAGTCCAGGATAAGAGCCATCTGTGTCCGTTCATTTAATTTATTAAATGTCATTCCTATTCATCCATTTAAGGCCTTTTATCTACTAATATCTAAATATCTTTACAAACTTTCACATTTGTAATATTAGAAGGAAGTCAGATCCAGCTGAGGTTATAAAAGATTTCGAATTATCTGTTGATATACAATTTTCCAATGTTTTTCCTCGTTTGTGTCATAATCTATTCTCGTCTGATACCAGTCCCCTTTATGATGGGTTGGCTTATGTCGCTGTATATTATTATTCAGTTGTTTCTTTTTGCTTTGTAGGTAATGATATTGTTCAGTTTGACTGATAGGTAAGGACATGGTGTATTTTAAAATTAGTTCAGTGGCCGAACTACGCTTTGTTATTTATAGATTTTGTATATCTAATCTATATATAGTAATACTTTCAATAATATTATCTATAATATTATCTATAATATTATTGAAAGTATCTATTGTCAGTATATAAATTCATAACAATCTATAATTTTGTTGAGTATTATATATATACTTTTGTAATATCATTATCTATGTACATATCTACTTTTGGTAGCAGTTTAGTTTCGTTGCATGGAATATTACGTTGTTGTTTTTATGTGTTATTAACCGATTTTTATACTAATTCATCAAATTTCCAGTTTACTTCTTATGGGACAATTATAAAGTGTTTTAAATTTTCTATAAGCCTACAAATATTAAATATCTGAAATACAAGTTGTTTATAGTCTCTGTCTGTCAAGTCCTATAAATATAATAAATACGAAAGTTTGTAACGATGGA